TTCAAGCAATGCTGAAGAAAATTTTCCTTTTGAATTGGCACCACTGAAAAAACTTTTTCATGGTTTAATATACGAATCATCCACCTCTAAAAAGAATTTTCCTTATACCAGTAATGATTATTTTGATAGATCATTGCGATTGGGTATTAAAATGCACTCAATTCGGGTAACACTCAATATTTATTCACAACATTACGTTTTCTGGTCGAAGTCCTCTTCCATGAACTCTTGAGTTGATACCAATTCTGCGGTTGCATTTTCTGTGTTTTATGAACCCTTTCGATGTTGTGGCTGCTTACTGAGTAGAAGTGGTGTCTCCATCACAAACTCAATGACTGAGTCAAATTTGGAAGCATAAACAACTCCATTCAGACCGTTATTTCTAATCTACTTTTACCTATCTTTATGTATTATCTATAGAAATTGCTCTTCAATTTCGATAGATAATTTTATAATCACTCAATACATAGTACCGGAGAAATAATACGAAGCAATATCTATTATTTATATCCAGTTACATTGTTTTACATCCATATTTCTTTATTGATCAGGTTATATATGATTCACCCATTCAATTCTTTCAATTTTTGTATTCGTTCACAACAAATATGTATACAAATATTTGTTCATATCTCAAAAATGAAACTAAAAAACAGCGGAAATAACCCTGTGTGTTTCAGAATAATAAATTGGAGAATCGCATCAATAAATCATGAATATTGCAAATTCTGAAATGGAGTTGCCATACGGTTTGATTCCAAATGGATAGGATATTTTATATTTTCATTTATATTAGAAAATTATAGAGTATCTGGTGAAAATGATACTTGTGAACTGAAAGTCATATCATGCTTACTTGATTACTCTGATACCTGATTAGCTTGATATTCTGGAACATCGAAAAAAGGTTGCAGATTTGTTTCTCTTCTGTAGTTACTATCGTGGAAAGTGTTCAAGTGACTAGAGCGGTACATATCAGGAGTATGCGACGGGCTCTGGCTGCTTATCGTTTCGATGTTCAACTCCGTACACCACGGACTTCGCTGTTCAAGAACTCTTTCATTTGCGTTTACGTGAAATAAACTTTCTGACAACGAGGAAACGAGAATTGAAACTTTCTTTGTTTTTTACCACTTTGATTTGTAACTAACGTTACTGCAGCTTCGTCCTATAAACCTTTTCAAGCTTATACATTGAACAAACAATTGATGAATACATTCGCCCTTATATAATACCCCTGTAGGTGATAATAGAGGTTCTTGGCTCGATTGAGTACCTGAATTTTATTCACTAGTTACAATGCGGATCGCTAATTTGAAAACCGGTGAGTAAACTTCATCGATTTGATCATTTAACAGGTTGCATCCATAATGTTGATGCTTGTGAATTTCCAAGGGTTCTAAATAATTGAGTTTGCAACCCTTCCTTGCATTGTGCAAAATTTCCGTATCGATTAGATTCGGGAGCTTGTGGTTGCATGCCAAGGAATGATTCATAAACGTCGAATCATTTTTTCTCAGTCTGAAGAACCTTTCAAGTTCAGCTTACTGTTTTTGTAAATTTCGACCACATTGTCCCACATAAACACTATTATCAGATAACCTGGCATGTGGTTTGAATGCCACTTCTGCACTGTTTTTTCTGAAGAAACCCGCAATTATCTCTGTTCTTTTTCCAAAATATGTTAGAGTTACCCATTTCTTAATTTCTGATTGACCTGAGTGTTTATTAATCTAATCTCCTCCAAATGAATTCAATCTCCAGCGATTCAAATCCAATGTGAATCGCCACTTTCGCACAGGTACCGCTCTTATAGCGTCCTGAGGATTCTTCTGTAGTGCTTGTGTTTTATCCTTAAAAAAAGTAGTTCTGAAAAAACACTTTTCAGTTTTGACTCACAATTTTACCAGTGACCCGAAAAATTCTGGAAATAGCATGGACTGTTAGAGAGAAACACGAAACATCCCAGATTATTGTTTTTATTTGAAAGGTGAGTTTTCGTAAGATATTTATTGTACGGTGTAAATAAAGAACAATTAAAATGTGCATGTCACTAACGGATTCATTCGAAATATGAGATTGATATCGTATCTATATAAATGGCTTCCCAATTGATACATTTTTATTGGTCATTATTTTATACTCGGTTTGTTCGAAAAATAAGGTGAGTTTTCAATTTTCGCGGGTCACGTATTTTCGATTAGCATTTGTTTGAGTTGTTACACTTGTCTCGAACATATGTTCACAATTTCAGCTGTTTGGCTTGTTTAGTTTTTCGGTTAGAGGCATAAAAGTTGACAGTATTTTGCATGTTTGGTGATTTTCTGCTTTAAAAAAAATGTATCAGAGAATTCCCATAAAATTTTGTGTTTGAAAAAATTGAATCCTCAGAAATACTGGAAGTGTTGATAGTGACATACGGTGATTGTACTCTGAGTCAGAAAAATGTTCACAAGATGTACAAGCTCTTCACAGAAGATCGGAAAGATGTGAATGACGACGTATTTCACACGAACCGCCGCATGAGCGTGGCTTAGGAATTATTGAATGACGTCAACGGCGATCAAAACAGGGCGATGCTGATTTACTTAACAGAATCATAACTGGTGAAGAATCATGTGCATATGGTTATGACACCCGTTGGTTGGGATACTTATCCCCAGGTGGCGAATAGGGAAACAGCCAGGGAACTGGGAGTCCTGTCCGGGAAGCCAATGGGGCCGGGGTCGCCGGACTCCTGATCAGTGGCAGAAATGAGTAGGGTGAGAGGAACCAAAACTCCCTAAAAGCCTTCGCGAAACATGCCACCGTGGACCAGCCTGCCCAAACTAGAGTATAAGGAATCGTGCGGACAGTTGAATGGCCGCAGGGTGATATGCGGTTACGAACGATCCCCTTGGGGAATCGGGCGAACCCTCATTGTGATCAGACTTCCTCTGGTAATGCGGGGTTCTGCCAGAGTGACCAACTCTTCCCCTGCTACTCGTGGGAACACACATGAATGAAACAAATACAAAAACAGACACAAAAAAAAACAAAAACCAATCCCGAGGCTAAACAAAAGTGCTCACCCAAATCTATAGCGGTAGCTGGGGATGAACAGAAATGTCCACACAATCTACCGCTCGGAATAAGGCTGGAAATGACAGACAATTCGTGATATAATACAAAGTCCAAGGGGTAAGTCAATTTGCGACGCCGACGCCAAAAGGAGAAAAAAAGCGATAGAGGCAGAAGTGGCAGCAAATGAAAGTGAACCCTCCTCCTCCCCCACTCCACCTCCAACAGTAAGGGTACTTCCTGCAGTGTGCGCCAAGAGCTCCGCCTGGAATAAAGGCAAGGAACCGGCTGCCCCTGCAGGAAAGCACCCTAAATTGAATACTTCCATGGAGGGAACCCCAAGAAGGTTGAAGAAGCCACGTAACGACAGTAATGTCGCTGCATCTTCCAAAACCTTCGCGAATGCCACCGTGATACACCTCAAGGTTACCAAAGAGAGTGTGTGTTCGGCGTGTCTTGGCATTTACCTGCCGATATGAAGGAGATGTCTCCTAGTGAGCTGTCCGCCTTCCTGGAAAGGACATAATGGACGATGACCTAGGAAAACTCCTCGGGAGGATCTACAATGGGTTTACATTCACCCTCCCTACTCTACAGATACGGATACAGAGATGGTTGTGACATCGAAACCAAAGTTCAATCGTCCCAATAGAAGAGCCCAGAAAAGCCAAGATCAAAGAAGGCATGCCAAGTTCGATTAAATGTCAGTAGTTCTTTCCACATGGTCATAAGGTCAATAAAGAATATTGTCTTGAAGTTATGCGCTGCTTGTAAGAAGCAATACGAAGAAAACGTTTGGTATTGTGAAAAATTCATGACGATAAAGCACCTACTCACACGTCATGGCTTGTTCGTGATTTTTTGACAAAAAAACATCGTAAACTTGCCACAGCCACTATATTCATTAGATTTGGCCTCTTGTCATATTTATCTGTTCCCAACATTGGAAAGACCCATGACAGGACGATATTTTGCGGTGATTGAGGAGAAAATCGAATGACTGAGAGAGCTCAAGGACATACCAAGAAGTGCACAACAGAACTGCTTCAAGGATTGGAAAGAGCTTCAGCATAAGTGTGTTATATCTGAGAAAAAGTTCTATGAAGGAGACAAAATAGGAACTGTTGAAAACATATTTAGTTTTTGAAAAAACTGAAAATTAACACTATTTTCTGAAGAGACCTCTTACATTGAGCTATATTCGAAAGATATATATATATANTTCTAGAATATAGGGTTGAAATTGTTTTATAAATCTTGGTAGAAATTCTAATACTTTTTATGTCACGAAATATATTAAGTAATTTAGGGGTTGAATTTGGAATATATCTTATAGAATAATTATATATAATTTGATTATTCTCATTAGAAGAAGGATTACCTGTTTCAGAAATTTCATACCTAATACTAAGTGAGGTTAGGGTAGGTTAGGTAGGCAGTATTTTTGATGATAAAATGCAGAGTAGGACCATCATACCGATTTCTCACGAATAACACAGTCATATTTGGAATGATTCACTCAAAACATCAATATATCATAAACAGACAGATTTTTCTTCAATTAGGATTCTTCAATTAGTGTCTTCTATTTTGAAAATGTATAATGTGTTGAATGATTTTATGATTGTTTCAATTATACTCTCAGTTAGCCGTAGCAAAAATCGTAATCTGAAAATGATGTAAAGCAACATAATAATGTTCATTATGATGTTTTTTCAGCAATTCGAGAAGAAGAACGCAGGTTCCTCCTGTCTATATGAAAAAACGTCATTTTTCTCACCCTCAAACCCAGTGATAAATCTTCCCGACTCCCCCCTGCAGTCTAGTCAGCTCGGCCTTGTAATATATTTTTAATTGTCTTCATTAATCTCTTCGGAACGAACGCGGAGCGCCAGCCGCGATTATAATAAAATTAGCTTTGCTAAACAACGAAATGTTACTCACAGATTGTAATGGACGTCTGCCATGTTGGGTCTGTAGTGGAGAGCTTCTCGAAATGCTAATTCCGCCTCGACTACACGGCCCTGGCTGCTGAGGACGCTGCCCAGATTTCCATAAGCTGAAACGATGCGAGCTGCTGTTATTAATTCGTTAAAAATATTATCTACTGGATGAGAACTATTTTATGATTATTTTTTGGGCTTTTAGAACTTCCATAGAAAAAGAATGACTGATGAAGATTAATTATTCAATGATTTTTCGCTAATGAAAAATTTAACCTAGAACATAATTTTTTGTTGATATTCTCAATACTGCCACTGCTGTGAAAAACTTCCTGAATGGTTCGTCTATTGGCGTTCATTCATTTTTCATTTGAACTTTCAATCTATTAAAAGTATTTTCAAATATGTTTGTACTATCAGAAATTATTATTACCATGGGGGACTATTTATATTTTGGGAACTGGCCACACATATGTTAATAGGTGAAATGTAGTAGCAACACCATAAAAAAGTTTGACGTTTTTTAACATAAACGTACTCACAACATTTTGATGTACAAGTGCAATTTGTTTTGTTTACAGTGATATAAGAAAATCAATTCGATCGAAAAATAGAAATTTCAAGAGTAGGTTTTTGTTGGATTATTTTTCAAAACTCCCGAAGTGGATTATCTCGACAAGAATGTGTCGCTGACTCAGTTTTTTGTATGGCGATAAAGCACCATCAAAAACTACAGTATATCGCTGGTTTAGTGAATTCATTCGTGGTCGTAGTTCGATCGCCGACGAATTCTGTGAAGGATGTCCAAAATCGGTTGTTGTGCCAGAAAACATCGATGCAGTACGTCAACTGATAATGCAAGATCATAATGTGACATACAGGGTAGGGTGTAACTGAATAAGTGTAAAACATTTGAGGAGGTGATTCCTAATCGAAAAAGAGATAGGATCTTTCATATAAAGAAACTTCATTGGAGCATCCTTTGTTAAGATACAGCCCCTTAAAGGGGGTACATAAAATTTGTATAACATTTTTTTTCACAAGTACTGAAAAAGTTACAATATTGAAATTAACCTGACGTTTTGTACTACCAAAAAGACACTTAGCCAGTAATTTATTTGGTTTACCCCATGGTTGTAAGGGGTGGAAAACGCAACCCCTAAAATTTATTTCCAATGTTACATTTTGTCTTATCATTTGTTTACCATTTGAAAATTTATTTCCGATAGCCTGTTTCATTCTAAACAAAATATCTCTTGGGTTTTTTACCCAAAATAAACCAGTTCGCAGCAAAAAATTATTTTACGAACAACTACAGAGATACATCGTCATAAATGCGAACTGGATTTATTGTTATTTTGTAGTTAGTACCTGCATT